CAGATTCTAGTGTTTTACATGGTGTGCCTAATACCGATGGATATGCTGCCCTGGAGTCACATGGACGTAAATATTCTGATGTTCTTATGAGCTCCACATCAGTTGATGTGACCAGTCCGCAACAAGATGCTCCTGCTTCAAATATGGACCCCAGAACTATTGCTATGTCCTCATCAACTAGCGATGCTGATATAGTTTGTGTTCCATCACCTCCTCTTCCTTTGAGACCTAGGTTATCTAGAGGTCTGGCTGAGTTTGCAGTTGGGGGAATGTTTGAGCCAAGTCCTGCATCCAGCAACCAAGGCTTTAATCAACCAGCTATTGATTATTCAGCTGACCAGCAAATGGACACGGTTTGTTCAAATTTGTCCAATTTGCCTGATGGTGACTCAAGGAATGATGAGAAGAAAATTGCACAAGATAATTCTACCACTCTTAATCCTCCTGTTACATTTAAACACCCAACTCATCTAATAACCCCTTCTGAGATTTTAATGGGTGCTTCATCCTCTGAAATTACCAATGTTAACGAGGGCAAGAGCGAGGTTGACTCAAATGTTCAAGATGTGGTTGTAAATAATGATGTTGCCAATTCTGAGGTGGAAGTTAAAACAGTTGGTGAAACAATAGCCACTCGAGATGACGAATTTAGTCTTCGAGGGGAATCCAAAAGGCCTGTTTTTGAAAACAAGGAAAAAATCTTTTGCTCCCAGGCATCAGATCTTGGTGTTGAGATGACTAGAGAGTGTTGTGCATTACAGCCAGACAAAAATATTGAGGAAAGTGGACAAGTTGATGGTAATGGCATTAGCGAGTCTCTTGCCCCAACTTCTCATGCAGGTGGGGATGAAGTCCACGACTCAAAGAAAGATTTATCTGGGAAAGTTTCTGAGTCCACTGTGTCGACAGTTGTTCCACTGTCAACAACTCCAAGTACAAAAGGGAAGAAGCAGAAGGGGAAAAATTCTCAAGCATCAGGTCCATCTTCTCAATCTCCACACACCTTTAATTCAACAGATTCTTTGAACGAACCTGTTGGGGCTTCGAATCTCCTATCCGTGGAGGGTGCCTTTCCTCGGTTTTTGGCTATGCAGGAGGCAATTAATCAGGTGATTGGTTAGACTCTGCACATGGAAAATACCCTACCTTACGTAGCATGTGTTATTTTCTTGCTAGACAATGTCATAAACTTAAAGATTTGACAAGGAACATACATGGTTGCAAGCAAGAACCTTGTGCTACTGTATTTGGCTGCAATCCCTTTGTTAGTCCCTGTTCATTATTGATGTTTTTTTTTTTTTCTTGCATATGAATAAATTCTTATGCATAAATAATATCACCTTCATTAACTTGGTGGGCTGTACATGTGGGTCTAACCAATGAGTGGTGGTGTTTTTTTCTGTCCACTTGCCATGCATGATCTTCTGTGCTACATAGCACAATTCTTTGCTAATAGAGGTGTTAGATTTTGCAAACAAAAATCTTGTTTTCTAGTTTTTATGATTTCATCTTAGAAGTATAATAACACAAAATCTTATTGTCCTTTAATCAGTGCTCATCCCCTTTTGACATTGGTGTTCTTTTTTTCTATTTATTTTCCAGCTAGTGATCACACAAAAGGAAATGAATAAGCAGATGTCAAATATGGTTGCAATTCCTGTTTCTAAAGAATGTAGAAGACTAGAGACCACTTTGGGGCGGAACATTGAGAAAGCCATCAAAGCCAATACTGATGCATTGTGGGCTCGATTTCAAGAAGAGAATGCAAAGAATGAGAAGTTATTGCGAGATCGCACACAGCAGATAACAAGTTCGATCTTGAATTTTATCAATAAGGACATGGCAGCCATGTTAGAGAAAGCACTGAAGAAGGAATTGGCTTCAGTTGGACAAGGTGTAGCTCGCACAATATCTCCAGTCATTGAGAAAACAGTATCTTCTGTTATTGTTGAGTCTTTCCAGGTAAGATATCTGAAGATCAAATGCATTTTTTTTCATAAATTAACTATTTTCTTACTGATGTTTTTCTTTCTCCAGAGAGGAGTTGGTGACAAGGCAGTGAATCAACTGGAGAAATCAGTTAACTCAAAACTCGAGGCTACTGTTGCTAGGCAAATCCAAGCTCAGTTTCAAACTTCTGGCAAGCAAGCTCTCCAGGTATGAAGAAGTTAGCTTATCATAATTGTTTTGAATAATTAAACGTCAGTGGGCCTCTGAATCAATGGTAAAAGTCTTGGGCTTGATACTGAGATGTTGCTGGCTCAAGCTGTTAGTGTAGCCACTTAACACACAAATGCTGAAGGGTAAGGCTATCTGTTTTTGCAAAATACTACATAGACCTGGTGGGTCCTAGGCTGTTTAATGGTTTTCTATTGAAGATGCATGCCTGGCATTATTTTCCTGAGGAGTATTACATCATCTTATAACTTTTGGTATGAATCTAGGGAGTGTGTGTCAGACATTGACGATAATATAACTTTTCACGCAGGATTCCTTGAAGGCTGGTCTGGAAGCTTCAGTAATCCCTGCCTTTGAGATGTCATGCAAAGCTATGTTTGATCAAGTAGACGCTACCTTTCGGAAAGGGATGGTCGAGCATACAGCTGCAACCCAGCAGCATTTTGAATCTGCACATTCTTCATTGGCAGTCACTTTAAGGGTGTGTTTACTTGTGCCATGTTATGAATTCATTATAAAGAAGCCTTCATTAATTTATTGAAAACTGAAATGTTGGGGTTTTTACGGATGGATCCTGAGCAAGAGTTGTCTGTTTATGTTGAATTTGGACGTTTGTGTACTGAATAATCATATTTTCATCCTAACAATATCCAATTTTTCAAGCAGCTTGCCAAATTGTTTTACTCTGTACATCTGTCATTCAGATATATTAGCCAAATATGGGTTCTTCTTGGGGATCATGAACTTAGCAAAGTGCGATTACATAGGGCTTGAGGCTATGATGTGCTTTTTGGTCATTGAGGTCTTACTATAGGTATTTAAGGAGTAAGGGTGTATCACAGAATCTTGACCGTAACTGCCATGAAGGCATTGGCTGTTTAGTATGTGTTGCTATTGTGTTTTTAGTATTGCAAGTCGAAGCAAATGGATGTGCTGCAGTGATCCTTCTGTCTGTTTTTATTCTTCCATATTTGCCTGAATTATTTTTTTCCTTTTTGTATGCGCTCACTAAATGCAGGATTCCATCAACTCAGCATCATCATTGACAAAAACCTTGAGTACAGAGTTGGCTGATAGTCAAAGACAGTTGTTAGCTATGGCAGCAAACTCAGGTGCAACAAATCCGTTGGCTACACAACCTAGCAATGGACCTTTGGCTAGCTTCCATGAGAAGGTTTGTTATGTTTTATGATCTGAACTATTTCAGCTGCTCATGACTGTCAAATATCATTTGTTATCGTGGAGGTAACTATAGGCCCTCCCCGTTTGTGATTCAGGTTGAAACACCTTTGGATCCAACAAAAGAGCTAAAACGATTAATATCTGAACAAAAATACGAGGCGGCATTCACTATTGTGCTACAAAGAAGTGATGTGGCCATGGTATCCTGGCTGTGTTGTCAGGTATTTTCTCGTTGTATCTAGTCCTGGTACTTCTGGATGTGATGGGATGAAACTTGTTGTTTGCTTCTGCTAGTCAATGCTTCTGGTTAAGAAGAATTTTGCTTCGCAAATGTCAAGTTTTATTATATGTCATGCTATTATTCTTGTTTGAAAAACATGAAATGGAAGATGTCTGGTTATTATTCTTGTTCGCAGAGGTGCTGTTGCATTTTTTTTTCTTCCCGCTATTCCTTTATGCGTTTCTTGTCTCATGCTAGTCTGCTGGGATTGTGGTTCTTATCTCAACTTTGAAATGGAGTCGAGAAGAGTCGGTCATTTTAATTTTGCTCTCCTCCTATTTTTTCCAGGTTGATCTGCAGGGAATAATGGCTATGTCTCCTCCTCCTCTAAGCCAAAGAGTATTACTCTCTCTTCTACAGCAGCTAGCCTGTGATGTAAGCAAAGAGACTCCTCGAAAGCTTGAGTGGATGACAGCGGTGGCGGCGGCCATACAGCCAACAGACCAAATGATTGCTTACTATGCACGGCCTATTGTCGAGCAAGTCTGTGAGATTTTGAACCATCTAAGGAGCTCAGCTGGCGTAACTGGCGCTGAGATGGCAAGCATCCGTATTCTCATGCATGTCGTTAATTTCTTGCTGATGTCCTGTAAATGAGCCCCGCTCCCATTGACAACCACTGTGCAAAAATCAAGGCAGAGTTTTGAAGTAGGAGGAACAGTGTACAAATCTTTGGTGGTTCATATGTAGGGTCGTGGATTTTCTACATTTCCCAATTCGTAGGAGTAATTGCAAGAGAGGAGTTTGTTGTTCGTAGAGGCAAAATGATACTCTCTTCTTATCTGTGAAATAATCTTTAGCATGTTTAAATATTCTATCCTCATGACATTCCATTTCATGGTTTAATTCAATGTCTTGATTCTCTCTCTCTCTCTCTCTCTCTGGGTCCTTTGTTGCGTGATTTCGCAGCTTTTTACTTGCTGTTGTGGATTAAAATACTTTTTTATTTTTTTAAAACACTTTCGATATTAATATTATATAATATATCAAAATATAATAAATATAATCTGACATGTATTTTTTAAAAAAAATTAAATATTACCAGTATATTTAAATAAAAATAGCATTTACAACCATTTTAAATAAAAATAAAATAAAATCACCGTAACTTGAATTTGCTCCTAGAAACACGGTTGAACCCTGAAAATTTATTTATTTTAAATTATTTTAATTTATGAATTCCAAGAATAACTTTAAAAAAATAAGATATTTGAAAAAACATCCATAGAGCTGAACCAATAAGTTAATGCTAACTGCTTACGCCTTGTCAACGTCGAATAACTGGTTTAAAAATATCTTTTACAGTTTAATAAAAAAATTATTAAGGGAATTAGTCATAATAAAAAAGTATTTACGCTTCTTTTTTTTCTATTGCATTTCGTTTAAAAAAAAGAAAAAAAAAAACGAAATCTACCTCTTTACACGGTGCCTCCGCAGGGACATGTCTAAACTACTAAAAAAAAGAAGAAAAATCCTGAAGCTAAAAAATTAAAAACAAACCCGACCCGAATACCCAGTCAATCCAGGTCCATGTCAGTTTTCCATTTTCTTTTCACCAGCACTGATCGGTTTCCCATCTTCGGGTCGTATAATATCCACCCGAACATCCAACCGCTCTCCTATAAAAATCCCTCGCGGCAGCCGATAAAGACATATCATAAACCGCTCTCGCTGCCGGATCCGATAACGTCTCATAAGCGTTGTGAATCTCAATAAAATCAACTCCTTCCGAGGGCTCATCATTGCGATCTAACATCGCATCAGGATGGTATACCTTAGCAAGACTTCTATACGCAGTCTTGATCTCCACTTGCGACGCGGTTGGATTGACCTGGAGTATTTCGTACAGACTCAGCGATGAATTCCTCGAGTCGACTCGGATAGTGTCAGGAAATGTTGAAACCGAGGCCTTGATTCGAAATCCCCGGAGAGAACGAGTGGAGGATGTCGTGATCGATGATGGAAGGAGAGTTTTTTGGACTATATTGGCGGTAACCGCGGCGGTTGCGGCCGTGGATAGAGCGGGGGTGGAAGAGGTGGCATACATTGGAAGAGAGGGTTCCAGGGGCAAAGGGGGAATAAGATTATGGAGCGAAATTGTGTGGAATGGAGAGGAGAGAGACTGTTATTTATATATATAGAGAGAGAGGTCAATCTTACTTTTTTAAAAGAATATTTAATTATTATTTATCCGAAAAGGAAGAAAAGAAAACAGTGTGTCTGAGGAGTGGCAGTTGTCTATTTTGCTGGCAGGAGATTTTTCCAACGGGCTGTTTGCTGTTGCTGACGTGGAATTTATTATATATTTATTAAATTAGTTAGTTAATAGGATAATATAATAAAGACCTTCTAGAAGAAAGAGCTATTTTCCATTTTCTTTTTTATTTTTCCATTTTCTAGAACTATTTTTTTCGCATAGAAAAAGGGTCATGCGGTCCCTTAGATAAACAGAGTCGGGCACCACTACAATATATATATATATAAATTCTTCTTTATATTTATTTCTCCTGTAAAAAAATAAAAGAAATTAACAAAATTGCTCTTTTATTGTAATCTTTTAAATTTTCTTTTTTATAATTTTTTATTTTACTAAGAAAACATTATTTTTATTTAGAATCTTTCTTTTTTCTTTTAAGTTTTTTCATTATTCATGAAAACTCTTTTTTTCTCTCTCTCTAAATTGATTTTGGACTTATACTAGCGTGTCATGTATCTTAAACTAGCCATAATATGTTGTTTGATTTATCGAAAGTTATATTGAGGTAATAAAATACATTTGAGGGGCGCAATAAATTAAAATAGTAGTGTATAGATATATTAAATTGTATCAATATAATACATGGATAATTTAGTGTTTTAACTTTTCAAATTATATATTAAATTTTTATTAGTCTTCCAAGACAATCCACCAACAATTGCATTATAATAAATTATATAGAATTTAATATAATTATTAATTATATATATACACTACAAACATACAAATTTGCTATTGGTGCAAAGAAAACAACAAGGAAAACACCACAAAAAATATGAGCGATTTCTAACTTATCGTCTCTTAATCATGGAAAACAATACCACATAAGTTCAAGAGAAATCTTTAAGCTTTCTAAAAAGGTATTTTGATATCTTTTATGGTAACTCAATTATAATAAAAGACCCCTCGAGCCTTAGAGTGAAGACTATCATTTTCCTTATAAAAACAATCTCTTGTAAACAATATCTCATATGTAACCAATATCTCTTGTATTGATTTCTAATATAAATTTAAGTAAGATTCTATTTCTACTTACATTAATGCAACATTTATATATCTGTAAATTTAAGCATGTTCTGTGCTTAATAAAGGATCATGTCCTTGACTTGCTTTTTCATCCATATTAATAATTATGTTGTAAGAGGGATTTAAAACAAATTTTAGACTTTTTGGATTTGATTTGTTTGGTTATTCTAAATGGTGTTTATTTGGTTTGTGGAGGTTGAAGGATTGTTACTAACTTGGAGAGTGTTAGGCATGACTAAGATTGATGTTTCAATTTGGTAAAGGTGATCTTTTATGGCTTTGAAAAAGTTATTTTTGCTTTGGAGTTGTGTTCACCTTAGTTATGCTCCATGAAGACTCAAACCAGACCTATTGGAAAGAAAAATGCATTGTAGGCTTACCTATTCTTTTAAGAGAAAAGGTCCGAATAAGATTTCAAGACTTTTCAAGTTAATGAAACTTTTCAAGTTAAAGAATTAGCAATTGCTAGTTTTGATTTCGGGACTTTATCCCACTCAAAATAAATCAATATAAGACCAAGAATTCATCCTTGAAGCCAACAAAAGATTGGATGATCCCCAATTACAAAAATCATAACTAGATAAATTATTAAATAATTTTAATAAATCTGAGATATCTCACCCTACTGAAAACCATTTCATTCTACCTACAACTAGTACCAATACATATGACCTTACACAAATCCTCAACAAGAAAAAAAAAGTCTAAACCTATAGCCATTATCCTAGAATTACAATTAGAGATTAAGATCCTCAAGACTAAACTACAAACCCTTAGGCAAGCCCAACAGAAAGACTCGGCCATATTACAACACCTTTTGTTCAAAATTGAAGACCAGACAAATTCTGAACAAAAATCCAAGGATCAAACCATTGAGACCCATGTATTGTAAAACATTGAACATATTCCTGATGATTTTTTAAATGTTTTAACACAAATACTTCAAAAAAGTATTTGATAAAAATTACTCTAGTTTTCTTCGAAGATTACAAACTAGAATCTATTGTTTTATTTGATACATGTACTAATTTGAATCGTATTAAAAAAGAAGTAATGCCTAAAAGATTTCTCCAAACTACTTCTGAAAGATTTTCTGCAACAAACAATTTCAAGTTTTATCTTCTAGGAAAGACACAAGTATCCATTCTTAATAATGATTTTTATTTTACAAATTTCTTTATAGTTACAAATGAGATGAATAATACCATTATTCTTGGAACTCCTTTCATCAACATAATTACTCCTTACAAAACTAGCCATGATTGCGTAATTTTAAAAATTAACAGTGTACGACTTGTTTTCTCTTTTTTAGAAAAATCAAAAACCAGAAACTTGAATTTAATCAAATCATATTTTATACATACATATTAGATCAATGCCTTAATTCATGGAAAATAATTTCATTTACATGATAAAAAAAAAAAAGATGTTTCTTTACAAAGAATTAAGCATCGATTACATAACTCTATTTTACAAAAAAAAATTTAAGATTTCCAAAATAAAATCGAGCATGAAATTTGTTCTGATCTGCCCAATGCTTTTTGAAAAAAAAAACAACATGTTATTGATCTTCTTTATGAAGACAACTTTTATGATAAACAAATACCTACAAAGACAAGACTAATCCAAATAAATGCTGAATTAGAACAACATTGTAGACTTGAAATCTAGGATCTAGAGTCAAAAAGTCTCATCCAAAAATCCAGATCACCTTAATCGTGTGCCGCATTCTATGTTAACAAAAACTATGAAATAGAAAGAGGCACACTTAGACTTGTGATCAATTACAAACTACTATATAAAACCCCAAAATGGATCAGATATCCAATTCTAAATAAAAAAATTATTATAAAAATTGCATTTTGCTTTTATATTTTTTAAGTTCGATATAAAATCAGATTTTTGGCAAATCCATATCCATCCTAAGTATTGTTTTATGCATTTTGAAAGCTGGTACTTGGTACATCAAAGGTTGATTTTCTAGATGGATGCATTTGGTATGAGGAAGATACATCAAAAAATCAAAAACTAGTTGAATGTCGATGGAAAGATAATTTGTCTTTTCCATCTATATACTGGGTGATTTCTTTGATTTGAACATTTGGTTTTGATAGTTGTTGTTCTGACTATGTTGCATCTTTGAGGATCTAATATTCTAGAAGGGTTACATCTTTTCATTGGATGACTTTAGAAACTACTGTGTTTGATTTGGAAATGTTAGTTTTGAGTATTAAGGTTTCACCTTTTTGGAATTGGAATTTGTGTTTACTAGCTAAGGCTGAAAACATGACTTTATAATGAATTTTGAAGATTAAGGCCACTATGATTGATCCTTCAAGCATGTTGTAATTATAGGTTTCTATCTATAGGATCATGCTTTGTAAAATATTTCAGTCTTTAAGGGATATAGTGAGGTTTGGGTAACAATCAAAAGAAATCGGCCCACTGAATAGGCTAGATTCAATGAAAATTAATAAGTAGTCTTGGAAGTTTTGGAATTTAGCATATTTTAGAACTGCTAAGGTATAAGTATTAAAGCCTTCTTTAGTAAAGGGTTCAATCCCAACTTGTACCAAACTAATATGAATATATTTTAGTCGCGGTCTTAGTGTTTCTGTATAGAATTTTTAGAAAGAAGTTGGATGGTTTTCAAAGATTTTGTAAGCTAAATATTTCTTTATCTAATTTTAATTGTGAAATCTGTTTTGAAAAGATCAAATTTGAAATTATGATAAATTTGAGTTTTTTAAACTTTAAGGATTTTTTAATCATCAATACTTTTTGTAAAATCTTCTATTGTAATCTCTTCACTATTGATAATTCTTTTACTTTCAGAAGATTCAGAGGTAGAAGAAGCTGAACTAGAGGTTGTTCTACAAAAAACAGAATCTATAATTTAGAAAGACAAAACTCAAAATTCAGGCAATAGGTTATATGATTTTATTGCCCTTTCATAACTCAACCAAGACTTATTACCATTTAGTAATGTTTACCTTTACTTCTAATTATTTCTCTCTAACATATGTATATGTCATCCTTCAATCGTAGGTTGTTTGTGAATTGAACTTTATAATTTATTTTTGTAAAGTTTTCTTGGTCTCATATATTTATTTATTTTTCTTGATTTCAATATTTAATATTAGATCTTTTAGAAATAGAGTTTTGTAATTTTTTTTTATTTTTTTACGATGTTATCCTAATTTCATGATCTGGATTACAGGTTTGTTAAATTAAACCAGACTAGTTTGAGTGGGTTTTTTTTATTGTCCTTTTAATTTTATATTTTTCTAAGCTTCTCACTGTGTCAATATCCTTTGAAAAAGTTGTTCAATATGCATTATATATGCAAATTCATGATTTTTTTTTCATTTGAAAACATATTAACAATAATTGAATATCTTTTTATATTAGAAAAAATAATTTCACCCATAACATGTTAACAAATAATATAGGTGGTGTTTGGTAATGTGATTATAAGTGAGTTTTGATCGAACCACATAAATTTATGGTTGGTTAGTGTCGTACCAATATCTTTGTAGGACCTTAAGAGACCACCAAGAATTGAGATTAAACCTTAATTTTTTTTTTTAAAAAAAGAAGATAAACTAACTGAAAGTTTCTCACTAAATTCATCAACAAAAAATAAATAAGATAAAAGAAAAAAATCTATTAGAAAAAAAAACTTCTCAAATAACTCTTTATTCTATACCACTTTACAATAGTTCATCATCTCAATAATTTGTCATCTCAAGAATAGTTGAAAGAATACCTTACAATGATTTTTTAATTAGGTTCAATAAATTTCCTTCCTTTATTTTTTTAGATTCTCTTCTTTTCT